TCTGTTCATGCTCTCAATGGGTCCTCTTTTCCTTCCATTACTCATTCCACTGGTCCTATAAGATTGATCACATCTGGTAACCACACTGAAATTATTCTTTTTTTTTAACAGAAGCCCCTGTCACTCCAGTGGTCCTTGGGCATCCATGGCTGGTAATGCACAATCCACATATTAATTGGAGGCAGGAATCAATAGTTTCTTGGAGTAAGAACTGTCATGCTACGTGTCTGTTGTCTGCCTGTTCTTCTGTGTCTCGTTCTGTTTTTCAGGAGGAACACATGGATCTGTCAAACGTGCCCAGTGAGTACCTCGACCTGAAGAGAGTGTTCAGTAAGTCTCGAGCTGCTTCTCTGCCTCCACATCGTCCCTATGACTGTGCTATAGAGTTATTGCCAGGTACGTCTCCGCCTAAAGGCAAACTTTATTCGCTCTCCACCCCAGAGAGGGAGGCCATGGAGAAATATATTTCTGATTCTCTAGCAGCTAAGATCATCCGTCCTTCTTCATCACCAGCAGGGGCGGGTTTTTTTTTTGTGAAAATGAAAGATGGCTCCCTCCGTCCTTGTATAGACTATCGAGGGCTGAACGCTATCACGGTGAAGAATACTTATCCTTTGCCGCTGATGCCTTCTGCCTTCGAACGTCTGCAGGGGGCGTCCTTTTCACAAAATTAGATCTCCGCAACGCTTACCATTTGGTCCGTATACGAGAGGGCGATGAATGGAGGACTGCCTTTAATACCCCCAGGGGGCACTTTGAGTATTGCGTTCTTCCTTTCGGTCTGTCCAATGCCCCTGCAGTCTTCCAAGCATTCGTTAATGATGTGTTGAGAGATATGCTAGATCAGTTCATTTATGTTTACCTGGATGACATACTGATATTTTCTCATTCTCTCCAGGAACATATTCAACATGTCAGGCGAGTGATTCAGAGGCTGCTAGAGAATGGGCTTTATGTCAAGGCGGAGAAATGCGTATTCCATGCACAGTCTGGTCCATTTCTGGGACATATCGTGTTGGTCGAGGGGATGCGCATGGATCCAGAGAAAGTTCAGGCTGTGGTAAATTGGCCAACCCCAGACTCCTGCAAGGCCCTGCAGAGGTTTCTTGGTTTTGCCAATTTTTACCGGCGTTTCATTCGCAACTTCAGCCAGCTCGCCACGCTTCTGACTGCCTTAACCTCCATCAAGACTCCGTTCAGGTGGTCCAATGCAGCACAAGTTGCATTCGACCGACTAAAAAGCTGCTTTGTTTCAGCCCCCATTCTCATTGCCCCTAATCCATCACGGCAGTTCGTGATGGAGGTTGACGCATCAGAGGTGGGGGTCGGTGTTATCCTGTCCCAGCTCTCTTCCTCGGACAACAAGATGCATCCTTACGCGTATTTTTCTCATCGTCTCAACAATGCAGAACGAAATTATGATATTGGTAATCGAGAGCTGCTGGCTGTCAAGCTTGCGTTGGAAGAGTGGCGTCATTGGCTAGAGGGTTCGGGGGTTCCCTTTATCGTTTGGACCGATCATAAAAATCTGGAGTACATCCAATCTGCCAAAAGACTGAACTCTAGGCAGGCACGGTGGGCTTCATTTTTCGGACGTTTCGATTTTTCCATCTCGTACCGACCAGGTTCCAAGAATGTTAAACCTGACGCACTTTCTCAAATTTTTGATCACTCCGAGCATGCATCATCTCCTGAAGCCATCGTGCCACGCAAACTTTTTATCTCTGCTGTCACCTGGGAGATCGAGTCAAGGGACTGCATGGCCTTAGAAGGGGTAACGCCTCCAACTGGATGCCCACCGGGTCGTTTATTTGTGCCAGAGGATTTACGGTCTGACGTCATACGTTGGGGTCACTCTTCCAAGTTGGCCTGTCATCCTGGGGTGAGTCGTACCTTGTCTCTAGTCAAACAACGATTCTGGTGGCCACTTATGGCTCGTGACATAAGGGAATTTGTGTTGGCTTGCTCAGTTTGTGCTGGTTCTAAGACTTCCAATCGCCCTCCCGCTGGACTTCTTCAGCCGCTGTTAGTGCCATCGAGACCCTGGTCCCATATTGCGCTAGATTTCGTTACGGGTCTCCCCCTCCAACGGGAATACGGTGATTTTGACCGTAGTGGACCGGTTTTCGAAAGCCACTCACTTTATCCCTCTGCCCAAATTACCATCAGCCAGAGAGACAGCGGCTGCTGTCATTGACCATGTTTTTCTTATTCATGGCCTCCCGACAGATGTGGTTTCTGACAGGGGGCCTCAGATTATCTCTAAATTTTGGAGAGAGTTTTGTCATTTAATGTGGGCGACTGTTAGTCTTTCTTCTGGTTTCCACCCTCAGAGTAACGGTCAAACGGAGAGAGCCAACCAAGATCTTGAACGTATGTTACGCTGTTTAGTCTCTCAGAATCCATCCTCCTGGAGCCAGCAGCTCTCATGGGTTGAGTACGTACATAACTCATTACCAGTGTCTGCCACGGGCCTCTCTCCATTTGAGTGTAGTCTAGGGTACCAGCCACCTGCATTTCCCAGTCTGAAATCTGAAGTCGCAGTTCCCTCCGCCCACGCCTTTGTCCAGAGGTGTCGACGTACTTGGAACAGGGCCAGACAGACCCTCCTTCAAGTAGGTTTGCGCACCAAGGCTAAAGCCGACCGCCACCGGTCTAAGCCTCCCATTTACGTTGTCGGTCAAAAAGTGTGACTTTCATCTAGAAATATTCCTCTCCGCACCGTATGTAATAAACTTGCACCTAAATTCATTGGCCCGTCTTCTGTCACTAAAATCATTAGTCCAGTGGCAGTCCGCCTCAAACTTCCTCCAGTGTACAGGAGAATTCATCCCGTTTTTCATGTCTCTAAATTGAAGCCCGTTTTTCATACAGCCATTAATCCGCCTACTCCGGTAATACTATTATTACTATATTAATACTATTCCACTCGGAGTGTCGCTTCCTCTTGGGCGTTAACACACGGCGCCTCACTGACAGACATTTGCTGAGCTGCGGGCTGGGCGACACCTAATATGTTTGCAAGGTTTTACAATCTGCGAGTGGAGCCAGTTTCCTCAAGTGTATTAGGTAACCCTTGGTGAGTGAAGAAACGATTTGATTAAGGTGTTGAAACAGGCTTGTTGCGCCATTCTTCCCAACATGGAGATGCGTGTGCTTTTCCCACTTTGCCAGTTGAGTTCCCCTATTTGGCGAACCCTACAGAGTTCATCCGAGGCCCCAGCATCTGACTCAGTGGAGAAGTCAGGTGTTGGCCCGTTACGTTGTTGGCATACCCACTGGTCAGCCTGCGTTCTGGGTACAGGTGCCTGCTTTGTATGATCCCCGCTGGCGATCCCATGTGCTCACTCAGCCACGGTGTAGTCCCCCCTTCTAGACGGGCTTGTGTCTTCCCTCCCCGCTAACTATCCTTTGTTCGTGTACTCCCCCTCTCAGGGCTAGACCATAGATTCTGTCACCAGGTCTCAGGGGGGGGAATGGAAATGCTATGTTCCTTCGCCACAACAATTGTCCCTTAGCTGTTGAGCGTGAAAGTCTCTTCGGCTAGAAAATGATGTTGAGCATTGAACCAGCCGCGTCTTTATAGCATGACTGATTGTCATTGACGCCAGCTGTGCACGCTGACGCCGCCAACTCATTGGCATTTCATTGGCCCATTTTTATACTCTTTCAGATGATTGATTTCTGACGAAAACCCCATAGTAGAAGTTTCCACATAGCATTTCCGTTCCCCCATTTCTGTTAAAGAAGGATTACTTTAGTAACTGTAGCGTTCTGTGCTAGACCTGTAAAATACACTAAGGCTAGTGTTTTAAGGCACAACAGGCCAGCACTGGCCTACTATTGTTTTTTTTACTTGTCTGAATCAGTTCTAGACCTGGTTCAATTCTCATCTGCATCTGGTCTAGTACCTTGCCATATCTGGGGCAGTTCATTTCATATGCTGATCTGGATCTAGTCTAGTACCATGCCGGATCTATGCCAGATTCACTTCTGTTTTGGATCTGATAGAGTCAGATTTCGGCCAATTAATTTTATATGTTGTTCTGGATCTGGTCAAGTTCATTAGATAGGTTTATATTTTATCTATGCATTTGCATTTATTTGCAGACAGTATATAGTATAGCCTATAATTAGCTTTTCTAGCATACATGTATTCAGATAGTTGATTAATTATTTTTAATTAAGTGACACTTTTTTTCTGTTAAGTCATAACAAAGGTCTTAACGTTTTAAGTACTGTTTAACACATTAAACAAATGCTGTATGGAATAAAATATCACCTAAAATAAAACCTTTGTTCAAATACACCACAAGTTAATTAAAGTGTACATCCAGTGCATGTACTGTCAAGGTTTGGGGTAAGGGAGAAGAGGTTAGGACACATACACAGTAAAAGGACTTAAAAAGAAAACAAAAACAACTTAAATGGCTCCTTGGGGAAATGGGCTAGCACAGAACAAAATGGGCTAGCACAGAACAAAGCACACTTGGAAAATAAACGGGTAAAGCAAACCATTAAACTGATGAGAGGGTAGGTGAACATAATTATTATATCCGTGTGGATAATAACGTTGCATAAGGAATAAGATGACACACAGACCGTTTTTACTGCTCTCCGTTTTACTTCGCTATATCCGATGACAAATACAACAACCGGCATTTCCGGTTCACGTCACAATGCATTCTGGGTGCTGTAGTGAAATAACAATGCCACGAATATACAACATTTCCTTCCCCTTAAATTTGAAGGTCAACATTTTAATTTTGAACTAGCACCATGCAGAATGAATGTATAACATTCAGTTTACCATTATAACATTCTGTAAACACACATTTATTTATTTATTTATCTGAACGTTTCTTGATTAAATGTCTTAAATGTCCTTGGTAATTTAACACAAATAAATCCCTGGGAATGAGGGTGGACTACCTCAAACCCTGGCTTACCCTTAGGGGATTATTCTGCCCCAACTCAAATACTGTAAGGGTAGCCCCTAACTAAGTATAATCCAAAAAACGCTGAGGTTGACGTCGCTCTCTTATTGGATACCGGCGGCTTACTTGGTCCCCATTTTCAGTCGAAACAACAGGAGGTGACAGTTCTTTAGTAGGTGGGGAATCTGTAATCTTGCTAGGCTCTGTAGTGACAGTCGCAGAAGCTGGTGAGCTGCCAACTGAATCACAGACGTCGGTACCTTCAGGAAGGTCAGTGAATGTACTGGCTCCACTCAGTAACTGATCAGTATGTCTCCTCCATAGAAGATTACCAGCAGTTTTAACCCTGTAGGACACGGGACCCGTCTGGGTTTCCACAGTAGCTGGAACCCATTTTGGACCGGTGCCATAGTTCCGGGCCAGCACCGATGAGCCTATCAAAAAGGATCTGTCTTTGGCTCGCAGTTTCCGTCGCTGTACCTGATTTTCTTGTTGTTGTAGGACCGTTTCTTTGAGTGTTGCTGGTTTAAGTACCTCAAAGCTTGTCCTGAGCTCTCGATTAAACAACAAGTAGGCTGGTGACACTTTGGTAGTTGCGTGTGGAGTACTGCGATAGCACAGCAAGAAGTTATGAAGGCGTTGATGCAATGTGCCTTGTCCAATTGAAGCTTTTAAAGCATGGTTCATGGTCTGCACGAACCTCTCCGCAAGCCCATTTGTTGCAGGATGGTAGGGTGATGACTTGATATGTTGCACTCCATTTGCAAGTAGAAATGTGCCCATCTCATGCGAGATAAATTGAGGTCCATTGTCAGAAACAAACTGCACTGGTGGTCCAAATCTACTGAAAATTTCTCCCAACTTCTCAATGGTCTTTTCTGCTGACGTAGATTTCATTATGGCTACTTCAGGCCACTTACTGTGTGCATCAATGACGACCAGCAGCATTTTGTCCTCGACCGGACCTGCAAAATCAGCATGAATGCGATGCCACGGTTTCTCTGGATATTCCCAGGGGTGCAGCGGTGCCAGTTGTGGTACGTTGCGTATGCTTTGACATGACGTACATGTTCTTGCCTTCTCTTCAATTTCTCGATCCACTCCTGGCCACCAGAAGTAACTCCTGGCAATCTCCTTCATGCGGACCATTCCACAGTGTCCCGCATGCAGCTGTTTTAACACTGATTTGCGCAATGTTGGTGGAATGATCACTCTCCTTCCCCACAATAAACAGCCTGTCTGCACTGAGAGTTCATGACGTCGAGTAAGATATGGTTTTAGCTCTAGGTCATGGTTCTCATCTTTTCCTGTCATGACGATATCCATGACCTTGGACAAGACAGGATCATTACGTGTGCCCTTGCGCACTTGTGCAGCTGTTATTGGGGTCCTTTCCACTTGGCTAAAGTAGAAAATTTCAGCTACTTTTGTTTCTTTTACTTGGTCAGCGAGAGGCAATCTGGACAGTCCATCTGCGTTTCTGTGCAATTCTGACTTCTGGTACTTGATGTCATAGGTATGAGCAGACAATAACAAAGCCCATCTTTGCATCCTACTAGCAGCAAGAGAGGGGATGCCATGATAAGGACCAAAAATCGCAGTCAGTGGGCGATGATCGGTCAGCAAAGTAAACTTCCTTCCGAAAATATACTGGTAAAACTTGCGCACTCCAAACACAATGCTCAATGCTTCACGTTAAATTTGAGCATAATTTGCTTCGGCTTTGCTCAGACTTCTAGAAGCAAATGCGATCGGTTTCTCTTGACCGTTCGGCATGATGTGGGACAAGACAGCTCCCACACCATATGGGGAGGCGTCGCAGGCCAGCTGAATTGGCAGAGAAGGATCAAAATGAGTGAGGACTTCTGACTTCAGCATGGTCTCCTTTGCTCTTTGGAAAGTCTCCTGACATTCAGTGGTCCACCTCCAGCTATTCTCCTGACACAACAATTTGTGCAGGGGTTTCAACAGAGTAGCGATGTTTGGAATAAAACGTCCATAATAATTAAGCAAGCCGAGGAATGAACGCAGTTGGGTGACATTTTTAGGTGTCGGAGCATCCACTATGGCCTTAACCTTTGCTGGGGACGTATGCAGGCCAGAGGCATCAATGACATGGCCTAGGTACTCAACTGCAGACTGGAAAAATTCACATTTGTCCTTCCGCACTCTCAATCCGTACTCTTTCAGTCTTTTTAGGGTAGCGTCCAGATGCTGCAGGTGTGATTCATCGTCAGTACCAGTCACAAGAATGTCGTCTAAGTAACATACTACTCCCGGGAGTCCTGCCAGAATCTGGTCCATCGCTCGCTGAAACAGGGACGGAGCCGAAGTGATTCCAAATGGTAAGCACTGATACCGAAATAGGCCCTTGTGTGTATTTATGGTCAGTAGTTCTCTGGACTGCTCCTCAACATGCATTTGCAGATATGCCTGGTTGAGATCAATTTTACTGAATTTTTGTCCTCCGGTCAGTCCTGCAAAGATGTCATTTATGAGCGGTAAGGGGTATTGTTCCGCCGACAATACTGGGTTCACAGTGACTTTGAAGTCTCCGCAAATTCTTATGCTACCGTCTTTCTTTAAAACGGGAACAATAGGTGTTGCCCACTTGCTTACACTGACTGGTTCCAGGACACCATCTTTTACAAGTTCAGTTAAGCTTGCCTCCACTTTGGGTTTGAGTGCATATGGCAAAGGTCGGGCCTTTAAGAATTTTGGCTGGCATTCCGGCTCAACGGTCAATTTCACTTTGATCCCCTGCATGCTGCCTAACTCCTTTTTGAAAACATCACTGTTTTTCTGAAGAACATCCTCTAAATCCAATGTATTAGATGTCATCATGTGAAAGACCTGCCAGTTCACCTGCAGTTGTTCCAGCCAGGAACGTCCCATCAGTGAGGGGTAATCACCCGAAACCACATACAATGGCAGCTTTTTTATTTGTTTGTTTAGTTCAACGGTAACCTGGAGAAGCCCTTTCATGGTCACTGATTCGCCAGTGTAAGTTTTAAGGGTCACATCGGGTGGTTTTAGTGGCAGGTGGCTCAGAATTTCACGGTATACCACATCTGACACAAGCGACACCGCAGCACCGGTGTCAATCTCCATCTTCACTGGTTGTCCTTCCACCAGCGCTGTGACCTTGTATGACTTGTTTCCCCCTGCCACGGTGAGCACATGCAAAGAAAATTCATCATCTGATGTGTCTGTATTCTTCTTGTTTTCTTGGTCAACTGTGAATACTTGTTTCTTTTGTTTTCTTCTAAATGTTGTTTTGTGCTGCATTTTCCCTTTTTCTGTTTTATTTCTACATGCACGCTCTATGTGTCCTTTCTTTTTACAGTTGTGGCACTCCATGTCCTTAAACCAACACGTGACAGGTGTATGTCCAGTTTTTCCACAACGAAAACAAGGGCCCTTCATTTCTGTTTGTTTTTCCGTGACCATTTTATACACTTTACTGTTTGAGCTCAGTTGCTGAGCTTCTTTAGCAGCCAATTCCATAGCCACACTCAGTTCAATCGCTCTTTGTAGTGTCAAGTTGCTCTCTGTTAATAGCCTTTTTTGAATTCCCTCACAGCGAAGTCCACACACTAATCTGTCCCGTAGTGTGTCATTTAATGTATCACCAAATTCGCAATGTTCAGCTAATTTTTTTAACACTGCCACAAACATTGTAACAGTTTCTCCTTCTAGCTGATTTCGTCGGTGAAACCTAAATCTCTCTGCTATTACTAATGGCTTCGGGGAGAAATGAGCTTTGAGAGTGTTTACTATTTGCTCATACGTTTTCTCCCCCGGTTTCTCTGGTTGTAGGAGGTTACGCAGTAGTGTGAATGTCTTTGGACCTATCACACTTAAAAAGGTGGGTACCAATTTATCATCAGCAATTGAATTTGCTGCCACAAAGTACTCAAATCGTTCTGTATAAGAACTCCACTGTTCACTGCTTTCATCAAACGGACACATATTGCCAAAAACTGTTGCCATTTTGTCCCGTTTTCGGTCATCAACAATCAATTCAGTCACTTATCTGAATCGCTGTCGGTCCTCTCCCTTTAGAAGACGTGAAAGCAGCCGGCTCGTACTTTTTTTTTTTTTTCTCTCTCGCTCTCGTGTCACTCACGCTGCTTCACTTCCGCGTTGTCATAACACACGCGCGAGTGCTTCAATCCTCGTCGCCACTTTATTATATCCGTGTGGATAATAACGTTGCATAAGGAATAAGATGACACACAGACCGTTTTTACTGCTCTCCGTTTTACTTCGCTATATCCGATGACAACTACAACAACCGGCATTTCCGGTTCACGTCACAATGCATTCTGGGTGCTGTAGTGAAATAACAATGCCACGAATATACAACAATAATGATTAATAATAGCATAGCAAATTCGGTGGGACAAGACAATAGACCACGTGGCACAAAGAGACACACAAGCCATGGGTTAATGTCAAACATTAATAGAACACACAGCCAATGAGAGAATACATATTAACCGTGTGTTCAAATAAAACAAAAAGCTAAAGCACGCGACCACATATAACCATGTAACGTAACAACGTGCTTGACACGACCTCAACACAAGATATGATTGAACACAAGATATATGCAAACATCTGATAAGTGAAAGTAAACCTACTATCCCTGCTGAAAAAAAACTGCTTAAACCAGCCTTTAAAACCAGGCTGGTTGACCAGTTAATACCAGCTTACCATTATTTTCACACCGAAAGTACTGTAGCGAGAGCATCAAAGTATGCAGAAGTCATTAATTTTCAATGAGAGCCAGTGTGGGCATTAAGGAGAGTTGAAATCAAGTCAACTTTATGGTAATAAGCTATGACGTGGTTCGGCGGCAAGCAATCAGAATGAAGAAGTCCACCACATGAGAAGTGTCCAGAGAACACAGTCACTGTGAACTTTGGTTCCAACCACAGTTGTTCCCAAGTGTTTGATTATTGCGATTGCAGGATTTACAATTATTTGCAATGTTTTCTTACAGGAACATACAATAAAAAGTTACTAACTAGTTGCTGATGTGCATTAATGTTATTTTTTTTTTCTTTAAAAAAGCGAGAATCTCATGCGACAATACAAAACAGTATTGCTGCTTCAGGATATTTTAGACATATGGACACATTGGATAATTAAGTGGAGCAAAGCCACACCACATGCAACTTGAACTTTCATTGTTAAAATTAATTTGCTAAAAAGTGTGCAACATTTTCACATTAGAAAGCATGTTTGATGCAGAATTAATGTAACTGATATGATATGCTGCAACGGTCCCTTTAAATACGAGATCAATGTACTGAGTTTTGACGCCAGAGCTTAACGCAGACAGCATTGTCACCAGGGTGGCCAGAGTGAACATTGACGCTCTCACAGCCTTCGGTGTGAAAGCACATTGAGGCTGGTTTAAGCTGCTGTTTTATTTTTTATTATTATTATTAATTTTTATTTTTTTTAGCAAGGATATGCTCACAAACACGGCATGCATGTTCCGATTCCAGTGCCAGATGAAACCGACAAGACTGAAGCACTGAGTATACCAACAAACAGAGGGTCAAGATCTGAACACAACCAAGACCGCACTCATTACAAAGACAGGAGAAATGAGTGCACGGCCCAAGTAAACTCAAGCTGATCTCATCATTCATGACAAGACAGGACTAGTGTCCAGACTCTGCCACCAAAACAAGAATAAATAAGACTGAAGTGGCAGAGCCCTGACATGTAGTGTAAAAACAGATGAGAATAGTCTTTTTTGTGTATTGCAGCTAGAGAACTGATATATGTTTTACATTTACATCTATCCATTTACGAGAAAATGTATCTAAATGACTTACAAATGATGTCATGTGCTAGTTTAGATAATTAGCTAAACTGTTTACACCTGTGCCAAATTGATTATCTGCTCACACTTCTCCAGCTTTAATAAAACATAAGGTTGATGATGTGCTTTAGGGGAAAATGCTTTATTAGGCACACCTTTATTTGTTTTATTTATTTGTTTATTTGGCAGGGACAGTGTCCATTAATTAGCATTTCTGCAAATGCACCAGAATTAGCCAAAAGGGTATTTTTCATCTGTTGTCCCTGAACAACCTAAAAAAACAATACAAGAATTATTCAATCAATCAAATAAGTTAAAACGTACTAAAATAGACATGATTATGTAGATGTTAATAAAAAAATATATTTACGAATTAAACTAAAACACCAACGTTAAAACACATTTAAACAAGAGATCAGTAAGATGGTAGGCACAAATGGAAACATGCTTGGTTTATTCTAATAGGAATGATGGGTAACAATTTATTTTGATGGTCCCCCTTTAGATAGTCTGTTGACCATAAGTTACTTTTCAAGTTCTTATCTAAAGGGGGACCATCAAAATAAAGTGTTACCATGATGATACGTCTGATTCTCTATAAACCAGATTTTTAGATGTTTTTGATTATATTAAAAGAGGTTATATCTCTTATACTGCCAGGGACATAATTCCACTTCTGTGCAGCTGTAACTGAAAAGGCACCCTGACC